CGTGAAAAGTCTCGAATCGGCGTTGAAAGAGGCAAAGGAGGCAGCCATGAAGGATCGCAAGAAGTTCGTGCTTTTTAGTTATTTTTTAATTAATTTTTACCTTCGATGATCGAATCGTTTTTCAGATACCAATACGAAGTTGAGCGCATCAAAGAAGCTGTTCGCCAAAGAAATTTGGCCCGCCGCGGATTCTCAGCCGCCCAGATTGGTGATATTTTGTTTAATAACGGTGCTGTTTACTTGATCTAATTTGCCTTTTTAGCAAAACCCATCCGCCCTGGTCAACATCCACCAGCGATGACACCTAGTCAAGTCAATGCGGTGAAAACTAGCAACTTCTTGCCGATTAACACAGTCCCGATTGCAAATCAGAACGAAAGTTGAGGCAAGCGAACTTTGTAATAAGTTTTCATTATTCAAATTCTTCAGTGTGTTCCGTTCATTGCTCCATTATTTACATTATGCCCATACTTTCAAGAAGTAGGATGCATTCATTATTAATTGATTTTTATGGCCAACTATACGTTTCATGCATATAGGAACAGTAGCTTACCAGATTATTCGAGGCTTGCATCCCTCCGTCAGTTGGCAGCCTCCCAAGGTGAAGGAGTCAAGGACTCGGAGCTGTCAGATGTCTAGTGCGCTTGAGTGGCTCTAGAAACTGTTATGTCCCTTGACGAATGATATGTGGTGACTTTGTGAAGGCAATTTAATTGTGATCTGTCTCTGAAAGAACACCCACAAGTTTTCTAAATATGTTAGTTTGGAGATTTATTGCAATATATGCTTGCCTTATAGAGAGAATCCTGCCTTGAACCTTGATTAAGCACCAGTACATCGGATAAGCTCTGCGGACTTTTTCTAGCATGCTGCTTTTTCTCCTACTTTTTGTCTGCACCATGATATTTATAGGATTTTTTACTTTTAATAAGTTTAAAACTGTAGGGTACAGGGCTGTTTTCTTTAATTGTCACATTTTTTTATGGATGGAAATTATATTTCCAGGAAAATTGGATTGTAACCTTTTGTAGTTGACTGTTCTTCCTCTTCCTCAGACATTTCATATGACGTAATTCTGAAATATTTTACAAATACTGTTATTAGTTGTTTTGTAGCATATGAGTTGTAGTCTCTGCAGGTTGATCCAGTTCGATCTGAAAAATTGAAGGAATTTTACATAAAATATGTATAGTTGAATATTGAGCATTCTTTTATGCAAGAGATAAATTCTACTATCTTAATGTTTTTTACGGGATAGCTCCGCATAAACATTTTATTGCACAAATCGCCAACGTTTCAAAGCACACTTGGATCGTTGTCAAGATTCAGTAATGGGAGCAGATCTGCAAAATCAGACCGTTAAGTTAAATATAATTTAATTTCGGACTGTTCATGGATTAACGTTGACAGCATTTTTTATTTGCTGAAGTTCAGATATTTCTCATGTCCTCTGGTATTGTCCCTATTCTTGCATCTGTTGGCCTGAATGAACAGTCTCCTTTGTATATCTAAATTTATAGTTCTTTTCAGCACAGATTGTGCTGGTGAACTGTCAAACGATTTCATGATTCCTGATGACACAATGTTGAACAACATTACAGCTGTTTTCGCATTCTTCTTTGATAGCCATAAAATCCTCCATCTGCCTTGTGCCCCACCTCTGTTGCGTTATTTGCCAGGTGTGAAATAAATTTCGTCAAGCTGTGAGTTCGCTGTTGCGTGGGTTTTTCAGCTAAACGTGTGAGTATCCAGAATGAAGGGTGAAGTTAGCTGTTCATTTTAGCTATTTATGTTCGACTCAGCCGCTGCGCTCATTTGTCTACCATTATTTTCATGATAGAATTATCAGATTCATATGATTATGATCCCTTCTTTTTCTTAGCACGTTCTCTTTAACATGATTTCTCTTTTCGAATTAACTGCCTCAACGTTTTTGGTCACTGGTAATCTCGCAGTTTCATGTCGTTCTTGACGACTTTGACTCATTTTCTTTGCTTTTTTTCTGTCAGTATAACTGTTTACGCTATACCTTCTAGGTCTTATTTTCAACGATCTAAACAAACAGAGCCTGCTTTCGTTAAACTTCTGAAATTCATGATATCCCTAGAGTGCCTCCTATGAAGCTGTTTCGGATGTGGTCTCTTCTGTTGACATTGATATCCTTCTGAGCTTCGCGTTTCTACCGACTTCAACTGTTGCTTGTATCTCTTCAAACTAGCCAAATATCCCACTCAAACAAAGCACCTGTCTTACTGTCGTTCTTAAACCTACGTTTCAGTTTAATGAGCATCTTGTTGCACAATACTCCGCTCACTTTTCTCCATTTGAATTAAGCTTTTTTGACCGATTTTTTATCTCACTGTCGATTTCTAAATTATCTTGCAGGATGGAAACAAGGTAATTGAATTCTTGGGTTTGAGGCGGCATTCTCCCCGATGCTTTCACCGATCTGATGGCTTTCAATTTGTTTTACCCAACGTAGTCCGCCATATGTTGTGACCTTTTTATGGACCCGAAGAACGTTTTTCTCAACAGCTGTTCTCTGTGCCTCGTGTTGTCCTTGTGCTTAAAAACCGAGGCTTGAGAGCAGCCCTTGAGAAGAACGGTTTTTGACTCAGCAAAGGTAAGTTTTAGGTATGTTATTATAATTATGGTAATATATATAATTTCAGATTAATTTCAAGACAAAATATAATTCTAAATTTTATTGCTTATAGCATTTTACGATTTTGAAATAATTCTAAAATCCTTTTCGCGAGAGCACTTATTCGTATCACAGTAGTTTTCAGATTGTTTACTTATGTACATATAACAGCTTTTTTGTTGGCTGTGATCAGCGTGTCGGTCTGAAGCTTACTTGCAGTTAATACATGTTAAATGCATTTTAGAGTTGACACCATGTCATGATTGAAATTTATAGAATTATCGTGTGCGAGCCGTTTTTGGTGAGGTTCAAAGGATCTTAATTTTTTTGAAATATTAGCAAAAATTGTCGATCATAGAGCATGCGTTGAAATTTATGGTCAGCAGTTGTCATTCTTGCATCGTAATTTAAAGGCTGTATTGAAAACAGTCAGCTAGAATCGAGTGATGCAGTAGCCCTCAAGTGTGGTGGGCAGGGTCCATGTGTCACAGTTTGCCCCTGGTTTTTTTTTTTCTTGGGCTGTATCAGTTTGAATAATCCGTTTATTCTTGATTACAGTGGCGTTGCTCTTCCGTCAGTTCTTTTAATGAATATATCATCATGAGATTCAGTGCTTTGCCAAACTTTAACTTCATTTAAGTGAAGATTAGCTGGTTCAATTTGGATGTTTAAATTTTCGATCGTATTTTTCGGCCTATGTGGTTCATTCCATTATTCAAACAAAAGTTTAAATTATAAAGAATATCTCTGTATTTGTGCAGTTCAGAAACAGTTTCTCCTCTACGCATTGTCTGTAAGTAGATTTCAAGTGGCGTTTTATGGGATAAATATGCTCAAATGGTTTTGCATAAAAATGCTGTGATTTCCCTTAAGCAGTCTTATTTGTTTACCTAATTTTTAGGTGATTAAATTAAAGAGTGCAACATTCTCCTCAAAAGTGACGAACGAAATAAATGATTATTTGAAAAGTTCGGTTTTCGAAATTTTCAGTTCCTTGCCTTCCCAATTATGCGGATGTTTCACTTTCGTTTCATTTACATGTTGATCCGTCAGTCATGCAGTTATGCTTCGATTTGCCGGTCAGTTTCACAAAAGTCGTTATCCTCCATTTGAAAGAGAAATGGTTCTCACCGGGCTTTGTTTAGAGACGTG